ATTCCAGATTTCAGAACAGAAATAGAAGCAGAAAGATTCCATAAATTAAAGTAAGAATAGTACATTTATTTAATGATCAAAACCAGAAAGAGAGCAGGTAGAGAGAAAATCGGTGAATAGACTGATCAGATGATTACTCCATCCTTTTAATATTAAGGAGGTTTCTGCTTTTATGAGATTTCCTGATCGGAAACACTGAGTTGAGCTATTATTTGTGCTCTACATCATCACAAGGTACTCTAATGTGCTTCTTCACGCTAGTCTGAAAATGGCCTTGATGTTCCAAAGTGTATAAACTTGACAGCATCTAAATTCTTAGGGTATTCCTGCTCTTGTAAGAACAAAGAGTTGGTCCTTACCCAGCTAGATATGCCACTGGTGTCACAGTTTGCAGTTCAATGGTGTTGGGGCTTCTTGATTTGCTTTAACCAAGAGTGCTATTTTAGAACTTTGTTAGGTATTCTGTTTGTCATAAAACAACAATCATTATTAAATAACTATGCAATTGCATCTTTTTTCTATTACTATTATTCAGCTTACTGTCTTTGCAGATTATTTCTAGGCTTCAAAACCATACTGAGAAAAACAAGCAATTTTTGAGCGTATCACAAAGCACATTATTTATTGTAAGGGTATTTATTATTATAAGACATGTATAGCAAAGGGACAAAGTATGTATGCAGCAGTTACTAAGCCTTATTTTTACTGTTTTGTTAGTGAGTAACTAGAGAGCAAACAAAAAATGAATGCCTCATCACATATTATTCTTTGAGCCACACAGCTCGCTCTTGAGATTTTAAAGCTTCCCTAAAACAAAGAAAACCCCTGATACGGAGTTGGATTGCATGAGCATTAAAGACCTGTACCTGCAAAGTGGCGTTTCAAGAGTTCAGTGTCAAAGGTAGGTGACTGGAACCAATCTGTCCTTAGCTGTACACAGCAACAAAGGAGAAGCATCCTTTGCAGAGCAAGGTCAGGTGGCTCAGCTTCAAGCTGCCACGTCATTCATGCTAATGCGCCAGACTTTGCACTGAAATAACTGCTAGTTGTTCACAAGTTCAGTTCTGCCTGCTGTGCACTAGCGATCTCTGATGCAGAGCTGGTAGTCTTCAAACAGCCCCAGACGTTGGTGAAGTGAACATATGGCCGCTTTCCGAGTGCCGACATGGAGTTTTAGTTACATATCCAATGGCCCAGGACTGCACAAACGAAGCACTGCATTAAAAAAGCCTCTGTGCTCTTAGGTTTATTATGTGCTCACATCCAAGTTTTCAATATATCAGTGTAATATCGTATTAGGTAAATGTTTAATCTGTGCATAATAGCAATCAAGAGGATATAAGTTGTGCTTGATGTTGAAAAACACTTGGGTGTCTGTAGAATGGAAACTGGCATCATGGACCTAACTTAAGAGGAAAAAAGTGTGTTATCTGGTGTTCTGTGCTGACTTGACAGTTTGCATTTTTAACTGTTGGCATAAAGTTCTAAGTTTTGGCTGGAAAAGTATCTCAGAACTCATATTTTAATTGCTATAAATCCTAATTAAGAATAAAAATCTGTGTGGTTTCTTATACTATTTTCTCACGAAAGCAGCATTAAAAATGTCTGGCTTGATGTGTTTTGGGTTTGGGTTTTTTTCATCATCTTCCCACCAGGAAGAAGCTCTGTGCTCTTGACTTGTATTTTGAACTCGCTTTTTCACACTGCAAGACCAAGATTGGTGTAGGTCAGCATCCCCAGGTTTCTGTTTGCTTCACGTGCTCTTTGTAAGCCATATAAAAGGGTACGTTGCTAGAGTCTGTCTGAGGTGGTCACAGCTGTCCGTGGGATACATATGATTTGTTCACCTCTGGATTTCTGATGAAGGGGAGTGTGCTCTGTGCTAGCATGGATGGTGGCAGCCTCGGAACAAAACAGCATGAGCTGCTTTGGCAGCGCAGGCACATTGTGAGCTAGACGTGCATGAGGAAATGCTGTCAAGCCCATGCTTCCTCCGCTGCTGCAGCTGCACAGCAGGGTGTGATGAGGGCAACCTGGGCTGTTAATCTGTAGCTATCAGCTCATAGTTAGAGGCTGGCCACTCTGCCCTTGACTTTCAATATTTTACAAGGCTGTTTTCTTTGTCTATAGTTCACAGGAGCTAATGCAGTAAGGGTGTGGAAAGGAGCCTTTCTGCTGCCCAGAAAGGAGCACATTCCTTACACCTAGCTGGCAGCGAGCTGGTTGAAATGTAATTCTTCATGCAGGCTCTGATCGAGGACAAAGGAGAAGTGGGGAGGGATGGTTCTCAGTCTAGAACTCGCACTGACTGTGGCTAAGATGGAAGCGTACTGCTTCGGGGCAAGCCCAGATCCACCACCGCTTTTCACAAGTGAACTCAGACTTGTGCATTTATTTCTCACACTAATGTATGGAGACCAGTATGTTCAAGAAAGGCGTTAACATGCTCACCTATAAAACCATTTGAGTGCAGAGACTGTTTATGCATGCCAAAAGTGAACTATCTAGACTACAAATGCGTATGTACCTAGAGAGTCCATTCTCTCTATCTTGTGTTTTTTCTCCTTCCTCCCATTCTCAGGAGTGTCACAAGATACCAATGCAAATCTAATATGGTGTGACAGACTTGGCACACTAAAAGGTTTTGCTCAAAAATAAAGCATTATAGTTGTATTTCTTTAAGCAGAGGGTAGTAAATAGCCTTTAGAAGAAGAGATGGTTTGTTGCCTAGACATTCAGTATTTTCAACCCTGAGTTCAGTACAATGTTGAAAGTTGAATTTTTCCTGCAGTTGAACTATATTTCTGATATGATATCATACATTTAAAGTGTCTTTTATGTTTAGGGAAGATCTGGATTTAACATGTCTTATAAAAAGCTCAGTACTTATTTTGTATTCAGGCTTACGAGTTCCTAATTTAGTAATGGATAGCATATCTAGCATAGAATATATTTGATTTCTTGAAATTCTCACAGAATTAGTTGACAAGTGAGGAGAGAACTTAGCTACCACCCAGATCTTAGATCTTTGTGAAACTGCTCAGAATACCAACTACTTCGCTCAAACTGCTAAAGACAAGACCTGAATACTGGTGTGTTACTGATGTGTTACTGATGTATTACTTTGTATTTATGCAACACCATTCTTTTGCAGTACTGGAATTTTAATTTTCAGAATGCCTTTAAAGATTTATTCTGTAATTGTTCGTTATTACAAAGGATATGAATTGTTAAAACTAGAACAGTCCTTTCTGGAAGAGGAACTCTTCTGTAAACATAAATAAATAAACCTCAATACCGTTTTATTTTGCCTGAAAGGGAAAAAAAGTAAGGGCCAGACTTTAGACCACAAACTAATGTTTACCTAATGGCATTATACTAATTATCAATAATCACCACAGTTTTATCCATGCCTCTTTTTGTTTGAGGGTGTGTATTATTTGATCTCAAGCACTTTCAGTACAATACAGGTGGGAGGTCTGACTCCTGAACTGAGTACAGCAGAAAGTCCCAGTGTTATTTACCGTTACTGAGGCAAAGTAGAACATAGGTCCAAGCTCTTGACACCTGTCTGCGTGCTCTGTGTGTTCCTTCTTTGGGCAGAAATCAAAGCCGTAGATGTCAGCAGTCTGGTCTGCAAGAATCCTGTACAGATAGCAACATCAGAGTATTTTGAAAGCGCTTATTGATTTGAAATTATAAAGTCATCTGAAAAACTGCTTAGCTCCAGTGTTGTTCTCGGTGGCGGTACAGCTCGGTTTGTCAAATTGCTGCTGCTGCGGAGACTGCCAAATGCATCTTCTTCCAGGCATAATTCTTCTTTCCCCATCCAATCCGTTTTGTAACACTTCACTTGCATTTCAAGCTTTATCTTGAAAATAAACTATTTCAAAAAAAACCTGACTAAATAAAAAGCAAAATATTCAGATAAATCAGGAAAAGGCTTTTTTTATTATACAGCAAAACCGCGATTACTCTGGCTTTTTTTTCCATGGATTTTGGCCATACTCTATTCTAATGCTGCAGCCTTTTTTATTTTTTTTTAACTGAGATTTCTAATTAGCATATTCAGGGTGAGGTTGTGCAATATAACTACAAAAATGCCGTGGTGTGAAGTGTTCCTATGTTGATGGATGGTTGGCTTTAATGATCTTGGTTCTAGTCCATGGGAAAAGCCAGAAATGATGCAGGTGTAATTTAGATAACTCCGGGAGGAACTAGCTAAATTAAAAAACTTATCCTCCACTGACTCTGGTGAGAATCTCTCCACCACATTAATCATTTTTCTTGCCTCAAAGGCCTGTGTTAGTGGGTTCTTAGCAGAAAGTCCCATCCTGGAACTGGTGTGATAATGTCCTTTAAATACTGCTCATTTTTCCTTGGTTTATGGTCTAAAAGAGTTGATCTGTCATTCTTTAACATGCTGCAAAAACTGAGAATTATAAGGTATTAAAATAGTTAAATGTATATGCATTAGGAGACCATAATATTTTTTATGTTGCAGTGTTAGTTGTAAATTTAGATCATATTACAGTATTTAATTGGGTCAAGTATCTGGTGCCAAGCCTGCTGATCGAGTATTTTATGAAATGATAACAGAATTGGAAAAATCTTGAGTTCGCGTCTAGAGTAATGTACGTCTTACAAGTGTTTGGCAATTAAAAACAAATTATTGCAGTTTAGTAGCTTTAAGCATGCTTTGATTAGGAAGCTGTTTTGCTTTTTATTATTTTCAGTATAGGTTAGCTTTATTTTTATTTAAGTCTTCATAGATCATGTTGTATAATTCAGCACTTACTGCAAGTCAAAGTTGAAAGCTATGTAACCTTTTTCTATAATCAAAAAAGAGCACACCGAGTTTTAATGATATAACAAATGTTACACAGTGGGACTCTTCAGTCAGTCTGGATGTGGATTCATAAAAATAAAAGGAAGGATTCATTAGGCTATCTGTCAGAACTGTAAAACAAAATTCAGTTATGGTCTCTGTTTCTCTTTAGATCTCATAAATGGAGCCCAAGAACAGTGTGAATTGCCTCCTATGGATGGTTTTCCTCACTGTGAAGGGAAAATAAAGGTAACTGTGAACTGTTCTTAATCTTATTATGTGTGTTTTGTAAAATTATGTGTGTTTTGTTGCAAGAAGTCACTACTCAGTGTTGTAATACAAGAACAACTGGGTCAAAAAAGAGGGTATTTAGGAGCAGGTGTCACTACAAAACTCCTCACCTTACCCTTTAATACTCCTGCAGAGAAACAAAGGGTCTTCCTATTAAGAAAGACATAAAATGCCATGTTATATTAAAATGCCACATTATTTAATGAAATTACTCTTTGAATGCTGTTTTGTTATTTAGACACCTTCTTGTTTTTAAAAAGCCCTGTCTGTTTTATTCCCCATAGTGAGTCATTGGATGTCTCCCCACCCAGGGTTGGGATTTTGTGTGCACCTCACTCCAGCCCTCTTTCTCTTTCAGCAAGATGCTTGTTCATACTTCATATGTATGAACAATTGTTGAGTACTTTCATATGATTATCAAATGCTAGGATTTATTTCTGAAAGTGAAGCTGGCAAAGTGTACCTGAAATTTCCTTACCTTTTCGTCTTTAAATAAAATTCTAACACTATAGTATTTAAAATAAATATGATTGTATATAAATCTGTTTTGATCCATTTTGACAAATGGGCTGTGTGGTGGCTATGAAATACATCACTTCTATGTTAAAATAAGTTAAATGAATTATTTACTTCTGCAGAATTGGCATGTTCTTGGCAGAGTCAGATTACTGTCTTGGTAACTAAAATGACCAGTTAATTTGCAGAGCATGTGTAACGGCGCAATGAAAGTCAGTTCCAGCCACACCCATGTGTATGAATCCCGATTATATTCTCCTTTTGGTATTTGCCTCTGCTTGCCTTGCTTACAGTTTGTGCAAACTGTACCCACACCTTACATGTAGTTCCTTCCCCACTGCAGTTGAATGCTGAGATGCAGTCTGCTGCAAAATATTCATAGAACTCTTTCTGTTATTTGTGGGTTTTATCAGTTTGGATATAGTGGCTTGCAGCTTTCCTTTGTTATTTGTGACTTCAGTATGAAATGGTATGTTTCAGAGAGATTCTGTGAGGCTTAAACATAACCCTGTTCTTGTTCTGTTTCAGTGGATGAAAGATATGTGGCGATCGGATCCCTGTTATGCAAGTTACGGTGTAGATGGGTCCACGTGCTCCTTTTTTATTTACCTCAGTGAGGTCAGTAATCTTTATCTGCATAAGGGGAATATCATAGTGCCTCACTAGCTTTTGGTAACTGTTTGTAAACATTTTTCAAAACAAATAGCTTTCTTCAGAAAAATTCTAGAAAGGAAAATAGTAAAACAGATTTTTTGGGAAGTATTTTGCTATTTTTCTTCAGTCTACCAGGTGTTTCTAGCATTGGAGAATTCAAATGTTTGTAACTGAAGTGATGTAAACAGCGACTGCTCAGTGAGTCCACACAAGATACCCTATAAAACTGAAGTGTGAAGTTCAGTCATAGATCCTTGCCTCTGAATGCTTGGTGTTGTCTTCTATGTAGTTCCTAAGGTAGCAGTAGATAGGAATTCTAGGGGGAGGTGTTTGGAGTGTGAAATTTAGAAAGTGGTATGCGGTAGTACATCCTCCTAGGAAGCATGGTCACTTCCTGCTTAAAGCCCAGTTTTGCACACAGCTGAATAAGGTGCTTGCCATGGTGTTTTTGTAGGTTTTTTTTTTCCATGGATCTCTCATTTCCTGAGCAATGCTTGTTTTCCAAGAAGAAATTCTGGCAAACAAGACTCACTGTGAACTCTGTCACTAGTTGGTGGTGTGTATGCCAGAAATAGTCAAATGTATTTGATGGCTTGACCCCTTTCTTAATAGTAAAATTCTGATAATTTACAGCAATTGACTTGGGTAGAAGTTTTGATGCCTAGTGGCTTCCTAGTTGTACAGAACTGAGAGAGCCAGTGCAGTTACAGAATTGTGAACTGATTTTAATTACACAGTTTCTGCAGGATTCCAGGAGGAAGGGCTGGGTTTTTAAATTCTGTATCAGAGATGAAAACAGTAAGTCTGTTATGAGTAACTCAGTTATAATGAAAGCAGATTCTGTTCAGTTACTCAGCCTGCTGTAGCTGAACTTTTCAGGGCACTGCTTTAGGCAGCATTAGTAGTTAAATGCGTGTCCAAAACACACATCTGAAGAAATAAAAAATGCTAGGTTTTATCACAAATTTGACTCACTACTTGCTAGCACTTAGTGTTGATTTATTTATGGGCTATAAAGCTGGTGTAGGAAAAGATCCAGTATGACTGTGTTATTTATCCTGTTATTTTTCAAAAAAGCTGAAGGTACGGTTTCGTAATCATCTGAAGCTGATCGAAGTTTCCACTAAGGTTACAACAATCTTTTAGTAGATTTATATTAGTGCAGTAGTATATTGTCAGCCAGCTGGTGCTTCATGTCTCTAATGCAAATGTATCTTAAAAATGAGAATACCTGTCAACTGAATGTGAGAATCTGGTATTCTTAAATGACAAATTTATTATTTTGTGTTCCTGTTGAGTCACAGTATTTTCTGTGACAAACTTCTGTTTGATCATCAGCTTTGAAAACTAAGTTGATGCTGTTAGTTTTTTCATAATTGATCTTTCAGCTCATCCCTGTGGCAAAATGTGAGTAGCTCTTGTTCCTGATGTCGTATATTTCAGAATGCAGATGTACCTCGTGGTTATACAGATAACCACTTCTTATGTGCATCAGTTACAGTACTGTGTTCTCCCACTCTAAAACAATGTGCCTCAGCTTGCCAGGAAGGCTGTTTGTGAAATGCTCTTGTGTTGACAAAAACAACTTTCTTTTGCCTCTGAGAAGGGGATCCATTTTTAAAGTGTAGTGATATGTAAAGAATGTTAAGTACAGAATCTTTTTATAAAATAACTTCTGAGAATTTTTGTTAGGTTCCTCATCAAATACTATTCCTCGTTAGTGAAATGCTATTTAGTGTAGTGTATCTTTATTGAGAACATAACAGTGCATGTAGGAAGATGTCGTTGTAGGCACATAAACGCTTGTTCCTTCACACACCAGTGAAGTTTATGAAGGTGTAGTGCCAGTTGTGGATTCCTACTGGCCCCAATCCTTCTTTCCTCACTTTTTACTGCATTTGGTAGCTATTCAGCTGCAACAGGTAGGACCTGCAGTCTTGGATCAGGACCACATTGTGTTATACTCACAAACAGTGCCAAATAGATAGTACCTTCCTCAAATGAACTGCTGAGCCTACAGAAACTAGTTTAAGGGCCTTCTGATTTGCACCTGGAACTTGGTTACAGAAGCAGAAGTTGTACTTAAGTTATTTTGTTCTGCTAAAGCTTCAAGGCTTTTAGGGAAATTTTGAATCAAACTTTCAGGAGCAGGGAAAAGTTATCACTTACAACTACTCAATGCAGAACTTTATTACTTTATAGCATTAAATATTGTATCCTTTAGTCAGTAAACATTAAACATTCTGGATAAAAAAAATATATGAATAAATAACAGTTCAGTTGTTATTCTATGAATTGTTGACCTTTTGCTTTTAAGTTCACAGCTAGCAGGAAGTAGTATGAAAAAATTCTTTTTATTTTGCTAGTGGATGAAATGTATCTCGTAATTGTTAAATGGTATAAGAGCTTTCAGCTTGAGTTTTCAGAATGCTGTGAAATAAGCTAGTCTATTTGAAATAATTTTTAAATTGCATAAACTGCCTACTGTGTGCATAAGAATGTATCAAATACTTTTACAAAGATCATAGTTGTAAGGCCTTTTCCATGTTTCTGTCCTTACAGTCTGCTCTGCTACCTGTAATATTTTGGAAGTTTAGTCGTATTTCTCTTAAAATTTAAGCCAAGGTAACAGATACATTAAAGGAGATGTTTTTCCAATGTAAGGCTTGTGTCACTTCACAAGAGGCAAATGGGTGTTTTTTTTCAAGGGTGCAGGAAGTTGATTTTTTCTTTAGGAAGAAATGTAGAATTTGGGCAACTTGTTGCCTGATGGAACAAAGGTACAGTTAGCACTGTTTGTGGGTATATTTGGGAACTTCAGACTAAGGCCTTACATATTTTTTGGAAGTTTTGTCCCCATGGCAGAATGTAAAACTAATATTGGTTGAGCATGTTATTAACCTTGAGTTTAAATTTGGCATTCTTAATCCTATGATTAATTCCATGATTAATGCCCAGCAGCAGAGGTTGAAAGCTTAAATGTTTGCGAATGCAAGCATGAAATGAAATTCTAATAACACTACAATGATGTGGATTTATGAGGTGTGTTGACTGCTAAGGATAACTGGAAATGCTACTGCAAGAGTAATTTGTCAAAGTGGACAGGGATGAAGAGTTGACAGTTTATAGTATGGTTGCACAGCTGAATGATAAATGTGCCTACAGAGCTCTCAAGTAAAAACCGCTGGTTTAAAACATCCAACTGTGTTAGGGTTCTGGCAGGTTATTACTGTTAAGATTTTTTTTTTCACTTCAAGGTAACTATCTAGGAATAAAATAGTTGTGTATACATCTTCTGTTTGAAAAGGCAATATTAAGTTACGTGTAGAATCACAGAATGGTTGGGGTTGGAAGGGAACTTAAAGCCCATCCAGTTCCATCCCCCTGCCCTGGATAGCGACACCTCCCACCAGCCAAGGCTGCCCAAAGCCCCATCCAGCCTGGTCTTGGATACTGCCAGGGATGGGGCAGCCACAGCTTTTCTGGGCAGCCTGGTCCAGGTCTTCACCACCCTTATAGAGAAGAATTTCTTCCTTATATCTACTCTAAGTCTCCACTCTTTCAGTTTAAAGTTTCATCGTAGGGGCCCCTGACAAAGAGGCCCTCCCCAGCTTTCCTGTAGCCGCCTTTAGGTACAGGAAGGCTGCTGTAAGGTCTGCCTGGGGACTTCTCTTCTCCAGGCTGAACAACCCCAATGCCCTCAGCTTGTCTTCATAGGAGAGGTGCAGTAGCCCTTTGATTATCTTTGTGTGTCTACTTCTGCTCTTAAAATCACTTCTACAATCTAGTGTGACAAGCACATGTGCTCTTTCATACTTTTTCAGGATCTGATTTTTTCTTCTAAAGCAATTCTATTAGGATGTTATGTTTAACTCACCTCTCCCTAGTAAACTGATTTCAAACCTATAAACAGAGGAGCCCAGAATGTTACTTTTCATTCTGTAATGTGGGTCAGAACCACAGAGAGACACAGTCATTTGCCCATGGTTTATGCAAAGCCTTAAAAACACAGCTAGGAATAAAACTGTCCTACACCCTGGTTATGTTGTCACCATGTATCTGCAAAACAAACACAGCACAGTGAAAATCCAAGTCGTCTTTTCTGCAGAGCCTGCACAAATGCAAGTATTAGCAGCTCTGCCTCCTCTGGTTTGCTTTAGATGGCACTCCCATAGGAGTACGAGTCATCAACAGCGAGCTTAACAGCTCTTCTCCTCTTCTCTTCTGGTGTCTTGGCTACTTGAGCAGACTGGGAGGCGAGCATGGCAGCAGAGGGAAAGCAAGAAGCTGTCCAAGGCGTTCAGGTTTAGTTTCTTTTATTATTTAAAGCTCTATCCTGTACAGACTTGCAGGTAAAGCTGCAAGGATTTTGCACTTCAAACCAGCTGCCTTGCTGGAGGCACCAGGTCACTCCTGGTGGATGATGCACAACCGTGCAGTACTCCATTTGTGCTGGAGCCTTTGAAAGACTGGAGGAGAAACAAATGTCCTGAATAGCAAAACCAGACTTGTGTTTTCTGGAAGGAAAGAGCAAGGCAGGGATTAGAAATGGCAAAAGTTGAAAAGGAAGTTAAGCTAACTAAGGTTTCTGAATAACTGAGGGCATGATTTCCTTTTAACTGTGATACAAACTTACCCACTGAGAAGAGGTTTCCCTTCTAACCTTATTTAGTTATGAAAAAAGCCAGTTGGTTAACACTATGTCATTGCCACACTGGTTGATGGTTGGCATTGCTTCTGGTGAGAAATGTGACAGAATGAATTTCTGGACAGTACAAGAACATGCTTCACTGCAAAATATCAGTTTGCAGCTTAAGAATTAAACTTGAGCAAATATCTTCTAGAAAATAAATTTGGCACAGTTTCCCAGCTTAATAACAACAAAAGGTGGAGGGATCTTATTGCTCCTTTCCTTCATTTAGACATTTGTGTCCTCAGAGGACTGCCTGCCACCCAGGAGCGGG